TCTATCAGCCAGCCTCACTTGAGCCCACAGATAAACACAGGGGTGCCGTGCTGACCATTTGTTTTTGTGCTTCCCAAATTATTCATCTTCTACCCAATTTCTTCTAACCCCAAAGCACCAAATATATATATATATTAAAAAAAAAACACAGCAGAAATAGAAGTGGCAAGAATTTACCTCATCTCAATCTGATTTCTTGCCTGCCTGCTCTCTGCTTTCTTAAAATCATTCAGTGGGTGTTTTGCTAAGAACACAGTCACTGTGCCCCATCTGTATAGCTTTTTAGCAAACTAGTCTATCTTCTGTGGCAGTGATGGAGGGGGCACTTAGGCAGCCTTGCTAATGCTCAGTGACCCCACTCTGCTTCCCAAATAACCATTTGACTGCAGGTGAATCTGAGTCCAAGAAGAGACAACTGGTTTCTCACTAGGCTTTTGCTGTTTACATCTGGAAACACAAAATTGTGAGGCAGTGGTTTAGAGCATAGGTCTGGATGCTCAGCTGCCCCTTTACCAGCTGGTTGGTCTTGGGCAATTTACTTATGTGCTCTGGGCCTGAGTTTTTATGGAGATCTAAAGTGATTTCACAATCCTCAGAATTTTTATGAGAATTTTTGTTCCACTGGGCAGGAAAATTAACCCTTCTGAACTCATTTAGTGATGGTGACCCAAAAGTAGTTGTATATTGTTTTTATCTATCCCTTGGTTTGAATATTTACATTTCAATGTTTATATATATTTTGCAGAAATACTAATGTGTGCAATTATGGAATCTACCCTCAGATTTTTGGAAAGGGACAGTGGACCAATAGTATCTACCTCATGTTTTTGTTTTGAGGATTAAGTGAATTAATATGTCATATACATAAAAGTGCTTAGGACAGTGCTTGGCACATAGTCAATTCTCTTTAAGTTTTAGCTCTGATTTTTACCTTGTCTGTATAGGTTTCACTTTCTTTCTTTCTTTCTTTTTGGTTCTTAAGATTTTCCTTTTCATTTTTCTTTGCTCTGTAATATTCCATCACTCAATATGTTGGTTAGTCAGAAAAGTGAATTGCATGTTTTGTGTTATTTCCAGCAAACATTTAATTTAAACCTTTGGCAAATGGTAGTATGGAGATAATTTACATAATCGTACACTAATTCTACCCCTTCCGTAGATTCAAACTCTAGCGTTTAATTGCTTGAGTTTACCATGTTTCCCTGAAAATAAGACACTGTCTTATATTTATTTTTTTCTCAACAAGACACACTAGGGCTTATTTTCAGGGGATGTCTTCCTCTCTGCGCTGAAATGCATGGCGTGGCTATGCAGATATGCTGCATAGCCCTACCCATCACTAGGTCTTTATTATCAGGGTAGGGCTTATATTTAACAAATGCATAGAAATCCTGCTAGGGCTTATTTTGGGGGTAGGTCTTATTTTCGGGGAAACACGGTAATTGTCTGAGTCACAGAAGTGCTTATCACAGAAGGAAATGCAATAGAAGAGGAGAAAAGCCAAGTGAGAAAGCTCTTCAGTTATTTATTTTTTGTTCTTTTTCTTTTTTTCTTTTGGCTGGGTCTCTCCTCTCTCTCTTTTTAAGGACTAGCTCACTGAAACCAGCAGCTGTTAAGTACTAGACCTTGCCTTAAGCCTTGGGGACATGGTGTTGTTATTACAACATGGGCATAATCCATTCTCTTATGTAGATAGTAGTCTCCATTGATTAAACTGGAAATTAAAATAAAATGAGATGATTGTAAAGGGAGAAAGAACTGGAGACTAAGGCATCATACAATAGTTTAGTGGCAGGTAAGTTCTTCCTAAGATGTGATGTTTGGGGTGAGACATAGAAGTTCTCCAGGAGAAAAGAGGGAAGATGGTTCCAGACAAAGGAAAGAGCTTCTGTGAAGATGCAGAGGAGAGATGAAAGATTTGAGTTCCTGTTCCCTTGGATTATGCCTCTTCATGCCTCCAAATTATAGGCCTGACCCACCCCTCTTTCCAGGACCAGAGCTTGCCTTCTTGGGGAGGCTTCTGGAAGACGAAAGGCAAAGAGATACCAAGGGATATATGTGTTCTCAGTGGAAAGCTCTGGAAAAGGGGGAGGAGGTATCTGCATTGCCCAGATGGGGCCCTTCTCAACAATCTGGGAAATAGCTTCTTAGACAGGGGTGCTTGGTGGGATTCCAAGAGGCCTGAAGATTTTCCCATCATATTGGAGGAAACATTAGGGGTAGGGCTGGATCATTTCCCCTTAGAACTTCCTGGCCCCATTCTGAACTTTTACTGCCGTATGGGCTAGGATAATGGGCCCTCATGCGTTTAAAATTCCCTCTAAATGAAGATGAAAATGTGTGCAGAGCAGTGACCAAGAGATTCTCCTTTAAATAATGTACCCAGGACAGTGCTGGGCCGAGAGCAGGCAGCCAATACATATTAGTTGCCCTTGATGTGTATTTAAAAAGAAGTAGTGAATAGCTCATAATCTCAAAAGCTGTAGCATTTGATAATGATGATGTTAAGCAATTATTTCATAATATAATGTGAAAAATGATCAATGTAAGGTAATGTTGAAATTCTTGGTATCGATAACACTTTTCAATTTCAGTTATTTTATATAGTTCATATTTATTTTTGAGGCAATTTTTATAGGTTATCTTGGCTACTTTTTATTCTTTCCTTCCTTCATCAGGACTTCTGGCCTGTTATTATTTACCAACATATGGACAGAAAGTAGCCAGGACAATTGAGAGAAGGCAACTGACTTGCACTGATTCTGTACCGCCAGCGTAGATTCTTAGGTCCCATCAGACATGAGCACTGCTTCCTACAATAAAAAATATGAAGAGTTAAACCGATAGCTTAAATAAAAATTAAAGGCATGAATTAATGCCAGAGACGCATATTCTATCAGCATTATTGTGAATAATTCATATTAAAGTTAAAAAAATCCTCTTTATAGTTAAGCATTCATTGTAATAATGAGCCTTTCCCGGGCAATGTTTTTTCACAGACTCCTTCACCACAGGTTGTGTTGTCCCTCGGCACCCCCTCCCCTTCCCCCGATACCCCCTGACCCGCTGCGCCCACGTCGCAGTGCGGGAAGCTGGACCAGGAAGGGCAGGGATGCGGCTGCTCACACAGTTCACTGCAAGAAACCGTAGCTGTTCCTCTTCTGTAACTGGGATGTTATTTGGAACATTTTTAACTAAATTTATTTTAAAACAGATGTTTACTCTAAATTTGCCTTTGATCAGTGAGAACTAGTATCACTTCTTCAAATATTGCTCTTTTAAAGAGAAACAGATTCCTCTTTCATCTGCCTCCAATTCTTCATGTGTTTTTGCCTGTTGAGAGAAGTCATGTTTTCACTCAGCCTTTATGTTTGAAAGTCTTTCCCCCCTTTTCATCTTTCCCTGTCATTTTTATAGGCAGTTTTCATAATTAGATAAAAACAAAAAGTGAAAAATCCACTTTGGCTGGCTAGGAATAACTATCTATTGGCAGTAGTTTGGGGGGGATTACGAATTTTGTAGGGCCTCTCGGGTTTTTGTTGTCCGGATTCATCACAGCGTTCGCTTCATGATACCCTCTCACGATCGGTCTGTGCACGGCCTGCTGCTTTTAGTTAGTGTTTTTAAAGTTCTTACACTACCTGTGAACCCAACACCCAGACCCACAGCTCGGATCTTGGCAGTAACCTCCGTCTAACCAAATGTGTCTTCCCCGCCCTCCCCCTGGCTACCTCGTCTCAGGTTGTCATTTTCTGGAACTCAGTGTTCACCCAACCCTTGCCTGCTTTCTTTATCTATTTTTTATTATACCCATGTGTATTCTCCAGAAGTGTTTTTTAAAAATTTATTTGTTTTTACTCCTATTAAAAGGGTGTTATATATTATTTCTGGCATGTACTTTCTTAACTTGCCATTATGCTACCAAGATACTCTGTGTTGTGTGCTGTATTTCATTCATTTGGACTGCTGTGTGATACCCGCAGTCCGAAGGGGCTGAGTTTGTACCCTTGTGTATTTACCCACTTTACTATTGTTGGAGACTTAGGTTGTTTCTAGGTATTTATGATTGCTAACAGTTGCTATGCATGTTCTTATACATGCCTCCTGTTCTGATTACGAGAGCTTCTTTTAGGAATCAAGTCACTGAGCCAGTGTGTTTATGAAGTTCCAACTTTAGGAGATAATGCCAAACTGTTTTCCGGAGTAATTGCCCCAGGTTGTACTCACATTAACAATGTCTTAGAAACTGTGAGGCCCCATATCCTCGCCAACACTTGGCATTGTCAGAATTTAAATTTTTGTCAATTAAATAGATATGAAGTTACATCTTACAGTCTTAATTTTTCTTCTATATTTTTATCAGGCATCTTTATTACCTCTTTTCTGAAATGCCCATCCATGAATTTTTGTCTCCATTTTTTCTATTGTTTATATTAAGAATTTGTTAGGCATGCTTTATGTATTCCCCATACTAATCTTTTGTCACACATATCTGTTTTGAATGTATTTTCCTTATTTGGAAGTTGGCCTTCTATTTTCTTTAAGGTATATTTCATGACAAGAAGTTCTTAAATTATCAAAATCTATCAATCTTCTATGGTCCATACCTCTTTGTGAGTTAAGTAGCTTTTGTCTAATCCAAAGTCTAAGGGATATTCTCCTGTACTTCCCAAGATATTTGATGGTTTGTTTTTTAACATGTAAGGCTTTAACCCATCTAAGTTGATTCTTTTTAATTTAACAAGGCAAGGATTCAATGTCACCTGATCTTTTTCATAAAATTATTATTTTAACATGTCCATGTATTGAATAGTCTCTTCTTACTCTGTTGTGACTTTCTACCTCTGTCATATACTAAAGGTTCAAAAGCCCATGGATCTGTTTGTGACTTTTTATTCTACATTGTTGTTCAGTGTGTGTGTGTTTGAGTGTGTTTGTGTGTGTGAGAATTTTAGACACGTAAACATACCTGATCTTAAGTACTTTTGTTTTTCTACCAGGTCCTGGACATAGTAAAAACAAGCGTCCGTACAGTCCTTCCACGCATCTGGAAGGTACCTGATGTTGAGGAATTAAGTTTATATCGGATTTTCAACCGGGTTTTTAATCGCTTACTCTGGAATCATGGTCAAGGACTGTGGAATTGTTTCTGTGATTCAGGGTAAGTTCTATGCCATCTTTTATGATCATAATTTTTAATATTTTACTAATTGGTTATAAAAGTAACCCAGTAAAGTGGCTGCATTTCTGTAATGATCTTTTAAAATATGGAATTTGATGGCATGTAATTTTTAGTACTCAACCATAATTTCTATCAATTAAGCTGATTAGGTAAGATGATGAATATGAATACACCACCACCTAACTAATTTGAATTCAGTGGAGAGAAGGTAGTCTTCCATAGAGAAAAAAAAATCTCAATCTCAAACCAATAGGCTTCAAGTTCTGCTGTTCCCTTTACACAGCCAATTTCTAAAATCTTAGCTACACACCCTTCTTCCTCTGCAGAATCCCAGTGCTGCTGCGACTCACTGTCATTTCAGCCTTGAAACATATACAGTCAAAGATCACATGACCTTTTATTCACAATGGCTTCCCTTAATCCTGTTCTTATTCTCCCAGTCATCCAAGTTTGATATCTCTGGGGCATTGCATCTTCCTCATCCCCACTGTCTTTATTGACTATTTGCTAAGTCTTGCTAGTTTTTCTGTCCCATTCTCACTGTGGCCACACTAGAATGTTCTCCATTCATTCTTTCAACAATAATCACATATTTACTACTGTGTTAAATATTTTTGGAGACACAAGTTGAATATGACACAGATGACACAAGTTGAATGTGACCTCAAGAAACTTGGTAACAGTTAACTATCCCACTTACTGAGTGTCAGGCATCGTGCTAGTCACTTTGCATGTGGTAAATAATTTAAACCTCATGGAATCAGTTTGTGACAGGTTCTATATTATCTTCATTTTGTGGATAAGGAAACTGAGGCATGAGACAGGTGCTGAAGACCTGGAATTTGGAAGTTATTAGCCTTAATCCCAGAGTTATGCTCTTAACGAATAAGCTTTGATATCTAGTAGATAAAACGTGATATTATATATACAAAAGAAATCATTTCCAAAGAGACACAGATAAAGTATGACAGGATTTCAGACAAGAGGATCTGTTCTTGATAGAAAGGCTAAGTGAAATTAATAAATTTATGGGCATTTTTGCTTCCAGTTTTTTTTGTCTCCCTTACTACATATTCATCACATTTTCTAAAATGACTTCCCTCATTTATTATTAAAGTCTAAACTTCTTATTTGCAGATAAAAGGCTATCTAATATGCTGAGTTTCTCCTGACTTCTCCAGTCTTCTTTCTCATTACTCTCTTACTTGAACTTTGCTCCAGAAATCAAACTCATTGTTTTTCTTTTCTTTTTTTTTTTTTTTTTTGGTAGAGACAGGGTCTCACTTTTTCGCCCTCGGTAGAGTGCAGGGGAGTCGCTCCAGCAACCTCCAACTCCTGGGCTTAGGCGATTCTTCTGCCTCAGCCTCCCAAGTAGCTGGGACTACAGGCGCCAGCCACAACGCCCGGCTATTTTTTGTTGCAGTTTGGCCGGGGCTGGGTTTGAACCCGCCACCCTTGGTATATGGGGCCGGCGCCTTACTCACTGAGCCACAGGCGCCTCCCAAACTCATTGTTTTTCAAATCTCTTAAAAATGTGTTCTTTCCTTTCTCTGAACTGTTGATGTCCTTGGCTATCTAATTGGGCTGCTTTCCACAATCCCACCCCTCCAATCCCCTCTGCATTGTTTGACTCCTATGTAAAGCCCCATGCTATTCCTGTCTCTTCTGTTAAACCTCAATAGAGGATTCTATTCTGAAAAATCTCATCATGGCCTCCATTTAAATATTCTACCCCTCTGATACTGAATCACACATACTACCTGCAGACTTATACGTACCATATTTTTCTTCTGCTGGTATTCACCAACAAGGAGATTCATAAGGCACTTGGGGTGAGATGAAATCTGAGAATAATCTTGGCTATAAATTATTTCTACAGAGACTTAGTGAAACATTTGAACTGTGCTCCATGGTCCCTTAGTTGGTGGCTCTTTGTAAAGGTGCTCCCAATCTGACCTCATAATGGGAATTTATTTTCTATTTGTTAATCCATTGATTTGACACTATATATGAATCCCAGCTACTCTCTACCATGGCAGTGAGGCATTTTGTTTCTGAAATTAGTGCTGTGATTTTGAGACTGTGGACAGTCTCCAGTATCAGAACCTAAAGAGAGGCCCATCAGTGCTACTTCCTTGCCTCTAAGGCTTCTCTTTCCTGAACTATTTTGCTAACATACTTTGACTTGATTCAGAATCCTTTTCCCCTGTCTCCGGCACAGTACTCTACCCAAATTTCTCTGTTGGTATCTATTACTACTAGTAATCGTGCTGATAGTAAATAACACTTATTGAAGGCTTACTAAGTGTATGACACAGTTTTACATATTAAATATTTGTATAATCTCCATAAGAGTATTTTGAGTAAACTATTCTTATTATCCTCATTTTACAGATGAGGAAATTGAAGATTAAACAGAGTACACCACTTGCCTACATTCCCTGAGTAAATTTAAACCCAGGTGGTCCAAGTTGAGATCCCAAATCCTTAAGTGGATTTTACTGACTCTCCAAAGCGGCTTTGCCAGTGGCTGCCCAGCTTGATTGACTGCACGTCCCACCACATTAGCCAGATCCCGAGCCCTTTATGCCTGAGTGGGTGGAGCAGGAGGAGCTTTGAGTCCAATTTGATTCCACTATCCATATACTTTTTTCAGTCTGGTAGTTGGTAGAGGTGAATTTAACATCAGGTTTTACTTTGCATCTTTGCAAATGAATTTCTTAGGCTTCCTTAATCTAATCAAGTGACATAGTCCTCTGTGTGTTTGATTCTCAGTTTGGACCTGGAATAGTTGTACTGTTTCCTCTGAGTCATGTAGGCAACATATACTCCTATAACTTTTGGTCTAACAGCCAGTAGTCAAGGTGAAAAACTACTCTTCTCAGTTCTCAAGGAATGATTTTAATTTAAAGTTCACCTTTCTTTCATGGCTCGGTGTAGAGTCTTGGAAAAATGTAAATAACTCTGGGTCACTCTGATTCTTGCCTGTGCCTGTCAAGAGCTCCCTAAGTAAAACAGAGGCAGTACACCATGCCCTGTCTGCCTCCAGAAACATCTGAGAGTAATGTAGATCTTTGTGGTAGGTTTCCCTATAATCAGCCCAGGGGATCTGCTGACGCATCAAACAGAAAACAGCCTGTCCCTCTCTTTCCCTCTTCCAGGCCTCTGAAGCCCATGCCCAGTACTCTTTATGACACCTGCAGCCTCCCGGGAGTGTAATGATGCCCTGAATTCTGAACGTGTTCTCTTGAAGGAAATAGCTCTTAGAATTTTTTCAAATACAATTATCTACCATGTTTCACTGAGACAGGGAACTCTAGGGTTCCGCAGGACTCAACCCCAAGCCTGAGAACTCAGTGTAACATTTCAGCTGAGAACAGGAGTTTCCCAGGGAAGAGCAGGGGGCAGTGTGGGAGAAGGAAGGGGTCATGCAGAAAAGCCCCATCTCCACTCAAAACCCCGATATATCAACCCCAAAGAAGAGAATCTGGCTTGGACCCTCTACTCAAAAGCATTTCCTTGTGAGAGTTTGTCCTATTGTAAAAGCTTTTCTTTTAGAATCTCAGGGTGAGAAGAAACTTTAAGGAACATTCCGAGGCAGCAGTCCATTTCCAGGCTGAATTGTACCTACCTGAAAATGTATGTGAGACCCTCGGTCTGCATAAAGCCTGTGGCTCTCCCTTCCAACTGGACATGGTGCTGTTAGTACTTTCCCACTGAGTAATCTTTCTGCTGGTGATTATTCAGTTGGCATATCGTCCTTTATAAAACTTTTCTTTCTTCCTTCTGCTATTTAACTTTAGACCACTTCATCATAAATTAATACTTGTACCAGAGGAGAAAGGAATGAATCAGTTGCACTCTGTAGATGAGGGAGTGGGTGAAAATGATTGGATTACTGGATAACAAAGATTTTTAAGTTTCTGCATTTTGTTAATCACTCCCTTTGTTGCCAGAAGTATTCAGTATTCTATACTTTGCATTAGCAATAAAAAAGGCATTTAAAGTAATTTCCTTTCATATATCTCTGAGGATTAGGGGAAGCCAGAAAGAACTTTTTAATCATCTAGCTTTTTTAAAAATTCGTAGATTTTGGTGCTCCGTTTTCTTGGATTTTAGATTCGGAGAGTGGGTTGATGAGACCCTGACTTCTTTGATAAACACACTGGTATTTTTAACTATTTTTACTTCTTCTCACCTTTTCATTCACTTAAAGATGAGGTCTCCCTAAGTTGCCCAAGCTGGTCTCCAAGTCCTGGGATGAAATGATCCTCCCACCTCAGCCTCTTAAGTGCTGGGATTACAGGTGTGAGTCACTGCTACTGGCCCTCCTTTCACCTTTTAAGAAAACATTGTATTGATCACATTGAAAAGTGAAGTACTGTAGTACGTGTATTATGAGAGGAATTTTACACCTACTCAGCTGTGCCAGGTGGCAGGTAGAGGAGGGGGCACAGTTCTGATTTACTCAGATTCCTTTGTAGAGTGGGGACACCAATTGCCATACGAGGCAGGAGTCATTCATTTTCTTTACGAGGAGTTGGGAATGCGGACACTTCAATGGAGATTAACAGAGTAGAAGGGCAGTCGTTGGCCCGTGGTGGTAAATATGTCCACCAGAAATAAATATGTGCAAAACCTTGATTCATATTTTTATTTTAAATATTTAAAGAATGAGAAAACGAGACGCCAAAGCTGATCATGTTGTACCTCACATATTGTTCATAAAGTTACATCAAATTCGAGTGTTATGTGTATAAAAGAAGCCCTTTTATCTTTCTTCCATTTTATTTGTTATTTTTCTACCTCCAAACCCCAATTTAGGTAAGGAAAAGGTACCGTCATGTGAGTGACCTGACAGTTGATCTAATCAAATGGCTCCAGAGTATCAAAAAATAAACACATCCAAATTGCGAGGGGAGGGTGGTGGTGGAGGTAGACTTTTGTGGGCATACCCGAAATCCCAGCAGAAAGAAAATCAAAGCCCAGGGTGGGTTTGAAAAAGAAAGAGAAAGTCAAACCTCAGGACGTTTTTTCTTTGTGTATTTACATTTACACAAAATTTTATTTCTCTATGCCCAGACATACGGGGTCTGTTAGATTATGGTACATTAATCACATACGTGTTCCCTAATTAATTTAGTGTCCTCCAGTGTTTTTTTGATCAAATCAGGTAATGTGATTTTATATTTATATCTGTGTCTATATATCTTGATAAACACATGTGTATCACACCTGGTTTTTCTTATTTAGTAACAATTTGAATTTCATTTTTAGAGTTAATTAGCGCATTACTGTTTCTTGAATGAAAATAACTTTTACTCCTTTGTTAATTAAAAAAAAACAAGATTATATTTAGTCGATTATAGTTAATCTTGAACATCTCAGAACACTGAAGAAAATTTGTTTCTTTCAGTGAGCTCATTTGAATCTCATTCCTTTAAGGAAACTTGTCAGGCACTGATAGCATGCCTTCTTGTTTGAGACCATGCTTCTCCCGAAAAAATAAACAGTAGCTTTTCTACTAAAAAGAAATACCTTTATGGGTGTCTACAGCATTTTTTAAAATTCCAGATATATCAAATATCCACAGAAGGCTGAACATGGAGTCTTTGAATTTCCCAATGGGAAGTGCATTTCATAGGAAAATATTTTCCTTAATGTTTTTTCCTTTCCAAAAGTCTACTCTTTTCTCTCTGAGGGTTACTTGAATTGGTTTATGTAAAATGAGACTTGAACCATTACCAAATCTCATCTCAAACCAAACTTTCTCCTCCAGGATTGAAAAGAGTTTCATTTATACTAAGAAATAAGTCAGTGTCTCTTTTTCTGTCTCTCTCTGGTGGATGGTTGGTGAAGTTATTTCCTGATTTAAGCTGTGATGGCCCCTTAGGTAATTGTGTGGCACACACAATTGCCATTAACCAAGGAAGTGTGCCCTGTTACCTTTGGAATAAGCAGAGTACGTGGCCAGAGGAAGAACACCACTGTTAGGACTGTACTAGGGTAGTACTTGCTAAGGTTACCTTACTTCTAGAGCAGCGGTTCTCAACCTGTGGGTCGCGAGCCCTTTGTAACAATGAAAATACATTCTGCATATCAGACATTTACATTACAATTCATAACAGTGGCAAAATTACAGTTATGAAGTAGCAAAGAAAATAATTTTATGGTTGGGGTCACCACAACACGAGGAACTGTATTAAAGGGTCACAGCATTAGGAGGCATTAGGAAGGGTAACGCTGTCTAAAAGTTTTTTTTAAAAGGGTGGCTGTAATCAAGGGATTAACCTCAATTCTTCTAGAGCAGAGAGGTCACGAATTAAGTTGCAGCAACTTTTTAATCACTTGTGGGATCATTATTAACGTTAAGGTAAATATACATTCCTAGAACACTTAATTTTTGAGCAATTAGCTCAGTATTTAAAAAATATTTTATTATAGTGTGTTTCTGTTTTGTAGTAGGTGTTAGAAAATCATCCTCTTAGCTACGCACAGTTGACAGCATTAAAACTTTAAAGACAGGTAGCACTGAGTGAGGTGGTTTGTGCCTGTGGTAACCTGCAGTCCCACCTATTCAGGAGGCTGCAGCCAAGGATCGCTTGAGCCCTGGAGTAGGATCTGCAACAGGCTGTGACTGCACCTGTGACTAGACACTGCACTCCAACCCAGGGGACGTAGAGAGCTTCCCTGTCTCTAAAGAAAAGAAGATAAATAGTACATGAATTCCATGCTATTTTTTTTTTAAATGCAAAGATCACTTTCCTAATTTATATTTGTTATATGTCTTTCAACCGTCCATAGTTATTGCAGGCCATTTCTACTTTCCCTTACAGGTTTGTTGCTAGGTAAGTGATATAACTGGTTGCCATTTTTAACAGTGAACGTAATACAAGGTCATGTCTGTTTCCATGCCAACAGATGCTCGTGGGAGAGTACATTCAGTAAAAACCCAGAGATGATGACTTCTTTGCAGCTCCAATGTTGCCAGCGCCTGGTGGAGCTTTGTAAACAGTGCCTGCTAGTGGTTTACAAATATGCAACTGACACCAGAGGATCAATTACAGGCATTGGTCCCGACTGGGGTAATTCCAGGTACTCGCTCACATTCTGTAGCCCCTGTGACTTTTATATAAAGTAATGCTAAATTACTGTTTGAAATTGAGTCTCCTTTTGCTTATGTGGCTAGTGAAAAAGCTAAAGACCCAAAATTCCTACATGTTACTACCTACAAAATATTTTTTATCAGCACAGTCTTTACTTTTAAGGGACCAAACTGGGGCAGCAATCATGAACATAATGGTGATAGAACATACATGGAAATGAGATGATTTGACTTTTATATTTTTGCTTTCAAAAACCAAGTCTGAGAGCACCTCAAAAGGTAGCAATACACTTAGCTTTTGTTCTTCAGTGGAGATATTTCAGCATTTATCCCTGTGGCTTCTGCAAGCAGGAAGATGCCTTTGGTTTCATTTTTATTGCTCAGTATGCCTCTACTACTTTGATTATCAGCCAGATATGTAGCAGGTGAATTTTTGTCAAGTCCTGTTTAAAAACTGAGTTTTATAAATGTTGTCTAGTTGAAATGGTTTTCTAAGAGCCATGCAAAGAAAAACTAGCCAGGCATGGTGGTGTGTGCCTATAGTCCCAGCTACTTGGGATGCCCAGGCAAGAGGATCATTTAAGCCCAAGAATTTGAGGTTGCTGTGAGCTATGACACCATGGCATGCTTCCCAGGGTGACAGAGTAAGACTCTGTCTCAAAAATATATATATATATTTTCACATAAATTATCGAGATTTGTATTTTTAATCTTTGTCTTAAATTCTGTCATTGTCCTGTTATATATATTTTGACTCCTCTGCAAACAGAAGTGGATTGATTATAACAATAGCAGAGGTGAAGTTAACCATTACTATTTAAAGCTCATAAATATCAAAGTTATATTCCATGGTTTCAATGTTTTGACTAAAACAAATTATTCAAATACCACTTTAATATTTTCATTACTATTTCCACATGACCTGAAAGAATGAAGGGCATTTTTTAGACATCACAACATACAAATGTAGAACCTTCTCTTTAAGGTTACTCTGGAAGTGTGATTGGGAAAACCTTAAGTTCCAGCCTAGGAAGGAATTCATTCAGACTCTGAATTGCCACTGCTGCAATTCCAGATTTCGTAAGCCAATTTCTGTTGACTGATCTTATAGCTTTTGTGGGTAGGCAGTATACAGTAGAACCTCCATAATTGGCCACCTCCCTACATCCATTGCCTCCTAAAGTTGACCTAATTTTCATAGACCAGACATGCACCCTATGTACCTCTCAGTATAGCAGGCCTAGTTCCTTATGGTGACCACTTTCTTATGTTGGCTACTTTCTTACAGTCCCTCGGATGGTCAACTTATAGAGTTCTACACAGGGTGGCTATAAAGTTCATGTGGAATTTAGAATAGTGTACAATGTAAAATTGCACATGAACTTATGGCCACCCTGTGTAACAGGATGAGCCCTCCTGGTTGCTCTGGGGGAAGAAGTTATGCTTTGCAGCTGCTTCAGAGCCTTTGATTTTCTTCCCCTCCTGGTAGTCAGAAGTATTATTCCCGGTCCTGGGATCTAGACTTCTGTACTTCTGCTAAATAGTGAGGATGACCCCAGTATAGTAATTGTAAGCATTTTGGGTGTTAGTAAATACAGTCTGATTCTTGGTCAAGTTCAAAACCACTGGGAGAGAAATGCAGGAGTCAGACAGATAATCATCAAAATATAGCTTTGTTACTGATAAACATTACGTTAGGGGACTTGGTATAGGTGTGAACTACATGAGTTTTCTAATACTGAATTTAAGAGTTAAACTTACCCGCCCTGCCAAAGGCAGAACTGGATCAACCCAACTTTCCATGGCCACTACCCTATAAAGTCTAGATCAGTGGTTCTCAACCTTCCTAAGGCCGCAATGTATTTTCATTGTTCGAAAGGGGTTGCGACCCACAGAATGAGAACCGCTGGTCTAGATCCTTTAGTGTCGGTAGGAGAGCAAGAAAGAATGCATCCCCTCTGCAGAAAGGCAGAACCAGAAAGAAAAAGAGGCTGAACTAAGTATGCCCGTGTCCTCCTTACTCGCAAGTCAGATAACTGAGTGCTGGAAAAGAGGACAGGAAGTTTACACTAGTGACATTTCTTCTAAGTGGAAACACAAGTGAAATAAATAAACATTTCCTCTCAATATCTAGTTATTAAAACCCACATCAAGATCACATTAATTTAAAAACATGTAAAAAGTGGCCATATCTTCTTTCCCTTGTAGATAAGTAGTGGACCTTACAGCATTTTACTGAAATGTGGAAGTTACTTAACTTAATATTTATTAATGGATTGATACATTTTATTAATGAAGTATACTTGATAAAATGTAAAGATGAATTTATATTCATATGTATAATAAAGATAAATTGTAAATAAATATAAATATATCATAAATAATTTATGAAGCATACCTAAACAATTTATGAGGAGATACATTTTGGTTAATTTATCTGTAAAATTAGAAGACAAAAAAAAAAATAGAGCTAACGTGAGTCAGGTTCATGGACCATGTTTATCTTGATCAAAGACATAGGATATTTCTTAAGAAGCTCTAAAGTTCTAAGGAGTAGATGGGATCTAGTACATGAAAGAGTGGCCTTCAAACTTGCGGTCTCAGAAAAATAATAATTTAATATGCACACCAAATGAAAAGCCATTTCTCAGAGATGGACTCACAATAACTAAGCAAGTAGAACTGATGTATAAAGCCAGATGGTGTGTATGTACACACACACACACACACACACACACGCTGTCCAGAAAGGATCCAGCCATGCATGTCTTTATTTTTCTTAACATTTTTTATTGCCCTCGTTAGAGTGCCATGGCCTCACACAGCTCACAGGAACCTCCAACTCCTGGGCTTAGGTGATTCTCTTGCCTCAGCCTCCCGAGTAGCTAGGACTACAGGCGCCCGCCACAACACCCACTTGCATGTCCTTATTTTTCACATTACGTGGCTGAATACTTTGCAGGTAGCCCTTGTATATGTGTATGTACAGGTCCAACAGTTAAGTTTGTGAACTTATCCTAGAGAAAGTGCCATCTACCTCATTGCTGGATATCACCACAGTCCCCTTTGAGGTGCCCCCTTTGGGAAACTGCACACCCATGCCAGCGCCTAGTCCACCCTTCAAAGCACTTTTCCTGGGATGAGTTTGTGAACTTAGTTGTCAAATGTCATATGATGATGGTTCTGATGACCATTCTAGAAAAAGACTTCCAAAATTGCTTTGAAGGTTGGACTAGGCACTGGCATCAGTGCGTCGTTTCCCAAAGAGAGCACTTCAAGGTGACTGCAGTGACATTCGGCGGTGATGCAGCACTTCTACTGAGATGAGTTTGCAAACTTAATTGTCTGAACTTCTATACATATTTATGTATATATGTGAATAGATACATGTGTGTGTATGTATACATATATGTGTATATATATGTGTGTGTATCTCCAGGATACTAGAGTTCTTGGGACCAGCTCAATATTTCACTGTAACAAGGCTTCCCTGGGAAGCTTTGGGATCTCTGACTACTTTTCAGCCTCAACATTTCAGTCTTTTTATCTTCCATGTACTGAGCTCTCACATAGGCTAATTTCACAAGAGTTCTGTGGCTGAGAACATTTTAAAAAACCACCAAGTTAGCATTTCTGCTTTTGCAGAAATAATAGAATACAAGGTACTTGGGTAAATCCTCCCTCTGATAATAAGTACACAAGCTGCACTAAATACCAAGATACTTGCTTGAAGACATCTGAGTGTTAACAAGGTACTTGTTAGTGAACAGCGGTTAGTACTGAGTAGTGCTTTTGACAGTCTCGTGAGCTAGGGACAAAAGTAGGAGTACAGGACCTGCCAAAGATTGGGCCTCAGTAAACACTCTTGATTCCTGGGAGTGATCATGTTCCAGATGGTTTACAAAGCAAACCTGACCAAACGAAAAGGAAAAGTAGACAAATCTACAACCATAGATGGAAATTTTAATAATCACTTCCCAGAAAAAAAATCAGTGACAGTTCAGAAAATTTTAGTATTACAGTTAACAGACTTAGTTGTCATATATAGAAGTTAATAACCTCAGAATACAATACTTCAAGCACACTATGAAATTTTACAAAAATCAACCACATGGTGGGATCAAAAAACACATATCAACAAATTTAAGAACATTGAAATTACATAGAGTTTTTTTTCTTACCACAATTCCTTGAAGCTAGAATATAATAACAAAATATAACCAGAAAATCTGTACTTTGGAAAGTTAAAAAATATGCTTATAAATAACTCATGAATCGACGAATGAATCATAATGGGCATAATAAAATATTTATATTTTTGTTATACTGAATAATAACAAAAATGTTACAAATGAAACTTATAGAATGTGCCTACGTCAATATTTTAGGGATAATATTTACAGACTTATTTGAATTTATTAGTAAAGAGTAAAGACTAAAATGAAGAAACCATTTTTAAAGATGACAAAATGACATTTAAGGAACCCCCCCCCCAAAAAAAAGCAGAAAAAGGAAATCATAAAAGATGAGAGCAGAGCTCAATGATATAAAAAATCATAGAATAAAGAAGATATACACAGCTGAAAGTAGTTTCAGAAAAGACTAAAAAAACTGATAAACACCTGGTGAAATTGATCGAGATGAAAAAAGCACAAATAACTCACATAAAGAACAAAAAGGGAGGCATTACTACAGACCTCATAAATATTTAAAACTTGATCAGAAAATATTGTTAACAATTTCATGGTGATAAATTTGGTGATTTAGATGAAGTTAATAAATTCCTAGAATAACAATTATCACCAAAAGTGACACAAGAAGAAAAAGAAAGCCTTAAATTGTCATAACTACTAAAGAAATTAGATCCATATTTCAAAGCCCTCCCACTCCTAGGTTGAGTGGCTTCCCTAAACAATTCTATCAAACTCACCCAGAGAATAGGAAAGGGGAAACACTCTCCACCTTGCTCTATGAGGCTACCATATGTTTA